CTGTTCCCATACCACACTTTAAATAACACCGATTTAAAAGGTCATCCAGCTTTGTCATACACGTCATGGTCATCGAAAGACTTGTGCTGGATGCTGTGCAAGTAATTTACGAAGAAGTTTCTAATATAAAACAGAGACTTAGTAAAGGCCTTCTAGTATAAAATAGAATAAATCTTCAAGAAGATTAAGTACTTATGTCATACACCCACAAAGAGGAATAATGCATTTTAAGGTTGATCAGTGAGTTGGGAATATTTGGAAATCCCAGATATGCATGATGAAAGTTAAAAAAAAAAAAGGAATAAAAAACTCATTTTATAGGTGTTCCAAATCACTAGAACTAGTACTGTTCTCTCTTAACATTACTTAAAGAAACTATTTAGATTAAGAGAGAAAAGCCAAATAGTATGTTTTAAATACCCCATTTCAGAAGCAAATTATATAAGCCTTGCAAAAACCAGACATCTAAAGAAAACAATTCAATTATAATTGAGCCAAATAAGTGTTTAGAGCATTCTATAAGCTCCACTGTAAATTATGATGAAGCACCCAAAACAAAAAGAAGAAAATTTCCAGATATATTGGTCTAATATCTGATTCGATAGTGAGCATAAATATTGTTTGGGTGCTAGTAGATGACTTCAAAATAAGATCCATTGGCAATTTTAGAAATAATTAGAAGATAACACATAGCTTTCAGTATTTATAAAATTTCTTGTTATTTAGTTGCCATAACATCATAGAACATTGTAGCCTTAACACGTTGGCTAGAGACTTTAAATGAAAGGATGGGAAAAATGAAAAAGCTTACAGTAATTATGTGAGTTATCCCCTGAGTTAATTCCTCAAAAGGATGTACTGCACTTAATGGCAGCCTTTTCTATGAGGCATCATCCAAAGCAATTTATCTGAAAACCACTCACAGGGGTAGGGCTGGCTGTGGGGCACCGTTTTAATAACTGGATGCATAATTTGTGCCACCGCACGCATATATCATTTCTTTGAGCACATAATTATGAAGTCAGCTTTTACAGAACAGGATTCTGCTTTAAGAGGAGATGTGGATACAGGCATGGAGTTAATCTAATCTGGCTTTCAGGACATGGATTCTACGTTACGGACGTTTTACCCACACTGGTGATGTGGGCATGCATCTGATTTCTTCATTGTTGACACGCCACAGACATTCAGACAGGGCATTAGACTTTTCAGTTGACAAATAGGCAGCCCACAATTAGAATTTCCTTAGCAGGTGCCCGATTGCTTAACATTTTATTGTCTTAAACAAGTATGTTGTTTGCAACAGAAATTTAACCCACCAGCTATATTACCTGTATTTTTATATGCAGATGGTGCAGTTTATTTGTTTTAATTTTACAATGCTAAAAATAGGGAATAGTCGAACCCGGATTAAAACAGAATTATGCATCTCTGTTTAAACTATCTGAGTTTATAAATGACAGGATGAGATTACAAAAGTGAATGTCCAGTTGGTTGAAGCAGTCACGGTAATCGGTGTCAACTCTTTTAGCAACAAAGAGAAGAATAGGACAAAAGATGACAGTTTCTGATTATGTTTGGCTGTATGTTCATTCTCCTCCTCAACTTTTATATCAGAAAATGGGTTTGGACGGTAACGAACGTTCCAACGCTGCAGAAGGTGAAGTGACCGGGACAGAAAACTGCTTAGCCAGATAGAAAAAGCCCATTTGTATTCTCTTTTTGAAACACTTATTTGAATTCAGATTTACCGATGTTTCTTCTTGGCACCCAGTTTGTGTATAATTTTTGTTACAATTGTAATTTGAAAGTGATCAGCAACAATGAAATGAATTTCAGAAGTGGACAGGAAAGGGTGGACGGGAAGAAACATAGTGTCTGCTAATCCAGCAGTCAAATAATTGACCCATGAGTAATTAAAAGTTGGCTGAGGTTATGGAAACAAGACTGCCCCCCCACCCCCACCATGTGATGGCAGCCTCAAGTCTCCTTTGTAGTTTTGGTATGAGGCAATGAGCCAAGTGTTCTGTCTAAACTGTTTGTGAACTGCTTTTAAATTAGGCGCTCTTGGAAAGGTATTATGTGACAAGTTATTGCTTGATTGCCCTCAAATGGCACAATGGTCTGAACAAATTAGAGCCTTAATTAGAGCTATGGACTAGTAAGTGGTTCTATACCATTTCTGTGCCAACATATTCCCGTTAGTACCGTCTCTGTGCAGAGCAGGCAATTTGAAAAAAGCTTCTCTTCCTCCATGTCTGTGTGGTCTTTTCCTCCATCGTATGTACTCTGAAACTCACTGGTTCTAGGTTCTAAGTGAAGGACTCTACATATGTAAGTGTAGGAATCAACTATACAATGACCTAGCAATTTCTTCTTGGCCAAGTTTTAAGCCATCCCTATTGTGGTTGTGCAGTGGATTGTAGGATCTCCATGAAATATGCCATTATATTCTATTGAGAATCCACTAAAGTAGGAAAACATTCATTTTCATCTCTTTTATCATGGGAACAAGCTGTCAGATCCAAGGTGGCCCTCATTGAAATGCCACGTTCCTCTGTTTGAAGCAGGAAACTTTACAATATAGTATACAGAGAAAGAATTTCAGGTTTGAAAATCACTGCCTACCATTAGCCCCATTAAGGAGATTAACAAAACACATTTACATATTCCAAAACTCTGAGATTCCTCCGGTAAAGAGATCTACTCAATTTTGTTTAACTCAAACTTTCCCGAATATTTTGGCACTTTGAGGAGACTGCATACTAATTTTCATTTTTCTTTCACAGGCTCAGGAACTTATAGAAGGTGACTTCCTTGTTTATTGCTTTGCTCCAGGGAATCCTGTCTGAGTGTGAGCCATTTACCTAACACAGCCCACAGTGGTGCCACACAAACCCTTCAGCTTTAGAATCCAGCTGACATTTTAGAGAGCACTTCAAACACATAATTGATAGAATGCTCTTTTTTTTAAAATCAGAATTCTAACAAGTCATAAAGAGAAAAATAACTATTGATTAAAGTGGTTATTTTTGTTTCTAGAAAGGCCCATTTTCTCCCAATAGGAAAATCTACATAGAAGGTCAAATCATAACCATCGGTTTGCTTGGTGAAGCAAGGAGAGTTGATTGCATGTTCTAAAGAGCTATCAACATCTAGTAACTTCGCCCTCTGCACTGGTCTCTACTAAAAGACAGATGTGCCCAGGAACTGGACATGGTTACTTCTGAGACAATGCTAGAGCTATTTTGCCTCTATATTTGCCTCTCTGACTCACAATTATCTTTTTTCTATTTTATTATGATTTTTTAAATCCAAATAGTAGATACGCATAATTCTTGCCCTATCTTTCACTTTCCAACTTCTGGGTCCCATACGTAGAGAAAATGTCTTTGAAGTCTTCTGGATATTTCTTTGGGTTGTAAGAAGCCTGTTTCTTAATATGCTGATTTTATATATTATCTATTAATATCGCCTTATAATTGATGAGGAATCCATTTCTTTATTTTACTTTCCTTCATATTTTGTATCTGCCAGGATTCCATCACAGGACACAGAAATAATTCTAGGGAATTAGGAGCCTACAAAATCAGTGGAAGGGTTAGACGAACAGGATCTAGCCTGGGTTTCCAGGCATGGTTCCCTGAACTGGATAAGATTAGTGGGCAGAATCTTTCTACTCAGGTATAATTTACTTACAATACAATTTACCTTTTTATGTGACTAGTTCAATGAGTTCTTGACAAATCTATGGTTGTATAACCACACACCATCGCTTTTAAGATACTCAATAGTTCTATCGCCCCCCAGAAGTTCTCTATGCCCCTGCCCTTGCCTCCAGCCCCTGGTAACCACTGATCTGTTTTCTGTACCTATAGTTTTGCCTTTTCTAGAATGTCAAATAAATTGGATCATCTACTGTACAGTATTTCAGGTCTGGCTTCTTTCACTTAGCTTAATGCTTTTGAAATTCATTCGTGTTGTTGCATGTGTTAGCAGTTCACTAGTTTGTATTGCTGGGTAGTATTTTATTATATGGACATACCATAATTTGTTTGCCCATTCACCAGCTGATGGACATTTGAGTTGTTTATGGGTTTTGTTGATTATGTATAAAGCTGCTGGGAACACACGTGGAGGTCTTTTTGTGGACATATGTCTTCATTTATCTTGGGTAAATATCTAGGAGAGGGATCGTTGAGTTGTATGGTAAGTGTCTTGGTTATCTAGTGCTGCTATAACAGAAATACCACAAGTGGATGGCTTTAACAAAGAGAAATTTATTCTCTCACAGTCCAAGAGGTTAGAAGTTCAAATTCAGGGTGCCTGCTCCAGAGGAAGGCTTTTTCTCTCTGTTGGCTCTGGGGGAATGTCCTTGTCATCAATTGTCCCCAGTCAAGGAACTTCTCAGTGCAGGGACCCCAGTTCCAAAGGACTTACTATTCTCCTGGCTCTTGTTTCTTGGTGGTATGAAGTCCCCCTGTCTCTTTGCTTGCTTCTCTCTTTTATATCTCAAAAGAGATTGACTCCAGATACAACCTAATCTTGTAGATTGAGTACTGCTTCATTAACGCAACTGCCTCTAATCCTGCCTCATTAACATCATAGAAGTAGGATTTACAACACATAGGAAAATTACATCAGATGACAAAATGATGGACAATCACATAATACTGGGAATTATGGCCTAGCCAACTTGACACACATTTTTGGGGGACACAATTCAATCCATAACAGTAAGTATATGCTTAACTTTATAGAAAACTGTCAAGGTGTTTTCCAAAGTGGCTGTACCATTTTGCATTCCCATGAGCAGTATATGAGAGTTCCAGCTGATGTACATCTTTACCAGCATTTGATACTGTCAGTCTTGTGGGCAGAGTCTTAGCTTTGTTTCTCTGATGGTTACCAAAAAAAAAAAATTGTTGATCATGGCCTTGACTTAACCCCCACTGGATTTTAAATAACAAACAAAGCAATGATTTATGCTTTTCTTTTAGGCTATTTGATCATTCCATGGAAGGATTTAAAAATTGGGAATTCATGACCATTCACTGTTGGGGAGAAAGAGCTGCAGGTGACTGGATCCTGGAGGTTTATGATACTCCTTCTCAGCTGAGGAACTTCAAGACTCCAGGTGAGAGCTCCTCTCTTCATGTAATTCTGTACTTTGAGTTGTCTTCATGTATTCCAGTTCTAAAGATTACCATTTGAAAGGTAATAATTTAAGGATAAGGAATAAAGAATTAATATTTGGATATAAGAATAGGACAAAAGATGACAGTTTCTGAATGATGTTTCAGGACCTATGGTCCACATCTCTAACAAGCCAGTCTTGTCCACCTGCAGTGGGTTAAATTGCACAGTCATAATTTCTTCCCAGAAGGAGAGAGGCTTTCCATCTCACAACATGGATGAATCTGGAGGGCATAATACGAGTGAAATAAGTCAATCACAAAAGGACAAATATTGTATGAGACCACTACCATAAAAACTCATGAAAAGGTTTACACACAAAAAGAAACAGTCTTTGATGGGTACAAGGGAAGGGAGCGGTGGGGATGGAAAAACACTAAATAGACAATCAATAAGTGGTAACTTTGGTGAAGGGAAAGACAGTACACAATGCTGAGGAGACCAGCGCAACTTGTCCAAGGCAAGGTCATGGAAGCTCCATGGACATGTCCAAACTCCCTGAGGGACTGAATTGCTGGGCTGAGAGCTGTGGGGACCATGGTCTCGGGGAACATCTAGCTCAATTGGCATAACATAAAGAAAATGTTCTACGTTCTACTCTGGTGAGTAGCATCTGAGGTCATAAAAGCTTGTGAGCAGCCATCTAAGATACTCCACTGGTCTCACCCCGTCTAGAGCAAGGGAGAATGAAGAAAACCAAAGACACAGGGGAAAGACTGGTCCAAGGGACTAATGGACCACAGCTACCGCAGCCTCCACCAGACTGAGTCTAGCGCGACTGAATGGTGCCCGGCTGCCACCATTGGCTACTCTGACAGGGATCACAATGGAGGATCCCGGACAGAGATGGACAAAAATGTGCAACAAAATTCTAACCCACAAAAGAAGACCAGACTTACTGGCCTGACAGAGACTGGAGAAACCCCAAGAGTATCGCCCCCGGACACCCTTTTAGTTCAGTAATGAAGTCATTCCCGAGGTTTACCCTCCAGCTAAAGATTAGACAGGCCCATAAAACAAAATGAGACTAAAGGGGCACACCAGCCCAGGGTCAAGGACTAGAAGGCAGGAGGGGACAGGAAAGCTGGTAATAGGGAACCCAAGGTCAAGAAGGGAGAGTGCTGACATGTCATGGGGTTGGTAACCAATGTCACAAAACAATATGTGTACTGATGTTTAATGAGAAGCTGGTTTGTTTTGTAAACCTTCATCTAAAGTACAATAATTTTTTTTAAAAAAAAGAGGAGAGAGCCTTCCTTAGCTATCTTTTTTTTTTCCTGAGTTTAACTAAATTTTTTAGGTCCGGCAGGGCATTGAGCTTGGCCTATGACAGCTGAACTGGTTACCACCAAAGAGCATGAATGATGGTGTTCTGGCCTGTATGGGCCCAAGAGCCAAGGAAACAAAAACTCTCCTTGACATGTAAAACATGGAAATTAAAGGTCTTTTCAGGCAGTCTCAAATTCTGTTGCCACCTTCTGCCTGTTTTCATGCTAACATATGCAGTTTATTTGTAACATAATATAAGGGAAGGTGCAAATGCAGCCTGGGTGGGAGAGTGAGTAGTTTTTTCAGCAGCCCATGTTGCCCAGGACAGTGTCTTGTACAGTGCTTGGCTCAGCAATGAATGATCTGTTTAATAACTACCTCAGCTTCCCACACTTCTGTGGACATTTTATCGACCTCCAGATAAAGTCATCTTTCTCAATGCTCTGCTCAGTCAATCTGCAGAAGAGCCAAGCCTGAGGGAAATTTCAGGGCTGACATCTAATTCTTTCTCACTCATGATTGCAGAATAAATTACCCCAGACATTCTGTAATTTTAAAGATGTTTGCCATTCAGATACAGGGCAAAAGAGGCACACAGAGAATGCAGGAATGAAGTGGGCATTTACCACGCTTTTGCCTGTTAATCAAGGAAAATTATTCATTTGGAGCGATCCCTTTTTTTTTTATTTTTTTATTGTGGTAAAAATATATATAACACAACATTCGCCAATCCAACATTTTTTACAAATACAATTCATTGACACTGATTACATTAATCATTTTGTGCAACCATCGCAAGTATCCATTGCCAAATTTTTCATCACAGTAAACAGATATTCAGTGCTTCCTAAATAATGCCTCCTCTCTTCCCTCTCCCGTCTGCCCCTGTAACCACTAATAAACTTTGGCTGAGAGGTGCCTTTTTGTCAGCACATTTTGGTCATCTCTCTTCCCTAATCTTGTGATGTGGTTCATATGTGCTGCCACAGTGTTCCCATAATCATGGAGGTCAAAACAAGCATGGTGGCAAGGTCACTATGAATCAGAACAAATGTTTCGTTGAAGAGTATCAGGGTCTGGCTCACCTACAGTAGGCATCAGAGTATGTTTGTCAAGGTTTTATCCAGAAATTAAATATTTGTCAAGGCAGAGTTAGTAGAGAAACACTTTTACTCCATCATCCACTTAGTTCCTAGGACCTTTGTCTTTCCTTCTCTTCTCTTTCTGGCCCACAGCATGGCTCTGCCATGGACAAGCATGTGGTCTTAGCTCTCATGGGCAGTAGCGGCATCGTACCAGGGCTGTACTTCCCTAACCAAATGGCAGCTCCCAGTTCATCTAGGAGCAGGTATTAGTGAAGGGCTTTTATGTGTCAAGAGATCCCAGAGGAGCAAAACACTATCTAAAATGTGACCTTCACTCACTGAAAAAATATTGACTGCCCTGGTATACGAAGGCGCTATGGCCTGGAGTTTAAAACAATCATAAAACTGAGTACAAGTGACTGTACTCTTTGTTATCACCAAACCCAGAAACCAAACCCACTGCTATTGAGTTGATTCTCACTCTTAGCAACCCTCTTATCACCAGGCACTAGCAATTCTAAAGAAGGTCAGTAATAAAATACTCCTCTCCACAGGAGCAGACTGCCACTCGGGGTATACCACAATGGATTGTGTTCAAGGGTCAGGCACTAAGAATATAAATCCTTCCACCATTCAAGGAGTTTGTAGTCTGTCCAGAATTTACTGTGATTATCTCTGTTAAAAGCTCTCTGCAGTAACCTGCATAACTAAACCAGTTACCATCAAGCCAATTTCGATTCATGGCGCCCTATGCGCGTCAGAGTAGAACGGTGCTCCACAGGGTTTTCAACGGCAGATTTTTGGGGAGTGCCATGCCTCTCTTTTGAGGTGCCTCTGGGTGGACTCAAACTTCCAACCTGTCAGTTAGCTATTCTCACCACCCAGGGATTGCCAAGATAGTCTGGAGTTGTCTTTCATACCACTGGGTTCTCCTTATACTATTTAAGTATTCACATTTAACCCCAATCACCTCCAATCATATTGGAGATGTTCTTTTTATGCCAAAAGAGAGATACCTTAATGCTATTACTGGTTTGAAACTGGTTTGAAGTCAAGAGGCTTTCATAGAACACATAGCCTCTGTGTATCCCTCCTTCAACCAACCTTGCATTGCAGGATTGGTAAGGGACTTTCACTTTTCTGTTCATGTGTGCACAAGTATATACATTGTTCTATGGAGTACAGACCTGAGGTTAGTTTTCCCTGATTAATGAGGGACTACTTATTAGAAATTCAATTTTCTATATAGAATTTTTCTAGCCCAATTAAATGGTAGAATCATCCCCAAAAATAAAGATTTCTGGATCCAAGCTGAGTTTGTATTTGTTCATTGTTTGCTTCCTATATGTTTATTATTAAAATATATATTAAAAATATTTTGTGGTTGTTTTGGGTGTTTTTTTTTTTTTTTACTCTTTTATTTTTTGCACATTAAACTATCTTGGGATACAGATTGCTTTTGTGTGCTGCAAGAGAAAGGATTTTTCTCATTATGTATTTTTGCTTAAGAGAATATTTCAGTATCAATTTCAGTTTCTTCTATATCATATCAAATTGACAACAGCAGCTCGAAAGCTTAGGGGGCAGTGAGTTTATGTTAATGGGGGAGGAACAATTTCAGAAAAGGAGGATGAGAATGGTTGCACAGCTTGAAGAATACAATCAGTGTCCCTGAATTATACACGTAGAAAGTGTTGAATTGGTGTATGTTCTGCTGTGTATATTTTCAACAACAACAAAAAATAACACATATTTTCTTAAGTATAGAAAAGAAGTTGGCCATATATGTGATGGCCCAAATATGGCAGTGTTTGATGAGAACCATGGCAGAGATTACAATTCTAAAGAAGTAAAGTGATATAGTAAATGAAAAATAAAGACAAATTGGCCAGCCAGGATATCCCTAGTGGGCTTGTGATGCACTTCAGAAATGTCATAAAAAAGAAATAATCAATTATGAGACAGCACTCTCCAAAGCACTTACAAGGATAACTTTTTAGGCACAAAATGATCTTAAGTAAAATGAGCCAGGAGTAAGGATGATTGATTGATTGGATAACCTAGTGTCCTTATATTATATGCTCTATTTGTCCACTAGAGAGATACCATAAAGGAAAATGGCTTCTCTTTTGCATCGTTACTAAATGCTATGAGTTAGGTCAATTTCGGGTGAACAGTCACTTCTTGCCACTACTCAATGCACACCACTTGGAGGCTGAGCAGCACTCTGATTCTGAAAAGTATTGTCATTAGCAAGTTGAGTCCAAAGAAAAGCTGGCAGAGGGAAAGCCACATACAAACCATGTACTATTTCAATGCAAATGTCAGAAAAAAATGAATGCATCACAGAATATGTTCATTTTTAAAGTCAGGTTCATGGATATGAACAGGAGACAGTATTGTATAATGGCTTAAGAAAACAAGATTTAGATTAGGATGGTGTCTTAGTCATCTAGTACTGCTCTAACAGAAATACCACAAGTGGATAGCTTCCACAAAGAGATATTTATTTACTCACAGTCTAGTAGGTTACAAGTCCAAATTCAAAGCATCAGCTCCAGGGGAAAGCTTTCTCTCTCTGTTGGCTCTGGAGGAAGGTCCTTATCATGCATCAGTCTTCCCTTAGCCTCTCAGTGTAGGAACCTCGGGTCCAAAGGACACGCTGTGCTCCCAGCACTGTTTTCTTGGTGTTATGAGGTTCCCATGTGTCTCTGCTTGCTCCTGTCTTTTATATCTCAAAAGAGAGTGGCTTAAGACACTATCCAATCTTATAGATGTCATCATTATAACCTCATCATAGTGATAGAGTTTACAACACATAAGGAGATCACATATAACCTCATCATAGTGATATTGTTTACAGCACACAAGGAAATCACATCAGATTACACACCCATACAATACTGGGAATCATGACCCAGCCAAGTTGACAGATATTTTGGGGGGACATAATTCAATCCATGACAGATGGGATATAATATCATTCTGTCCTCTTCATAATAACTTCTCTTGCTAATAACCTGGGACAGTTATCAACCCTTGTGCCTCAGTGTCCTCATCTGTATATTGGGAATACTAGTACCTACCTCCCACTACCCAACTGTCAGTCTGTTGTATTGTGGTAGCTTTTGTGTTGCTATGATGCTGGAAATGATACCACCAGTATTTCAAATACCAGCAGGGTCACCTATGGTGGACAGGTTTCAGTGGAGCTTCCAGAATAAGGCAGGCTAGGAAGAAAGGCCCAGTGATCTGCTTCCAAAATTCAGCCAGTGAAATCCTTCTGGATCACAATAGAACATTGTCCAACTCACTTGCTTTGGACACATCATCAGGAGGAATCTATCACTAGAGTAGGACATCATGTTTGGTGAAGTAGGGGGCTGGCCAGGGAGACCCTCAGTGAGATGGAGTGGCATAATAGCTATAACAATGGACTCAAACATGCTGGCAGTTGTGATGCTGATGCAGGAAGAGTCAACATTTTATTCGGTTGTGTGTAAAGCCACCATGAGTTAGAGCTGACTTAACGACAGCTATCTATCTCTCTCTAGTACCTACCTCAGGGTTGTTAAAGATTGAGTGGGATAATACTTAAAGGCATCCACTTACAGAGCAAAACTTACAAAGGCCTGTGCTTGGCACATAGAAAGCACCAAGAAATGTGAGGCATCAACTTGAGGGTGATTATGATGATGTGCTAATAGAGGAAGGATTATGACAGCTGAATTTCACCACTCTCTGGAGTGACACAGCCCTAGCCCCTGACCATGCCTGGATTCTGTGTGTTAAGCCAAGGAGGGAGGTATTCTAAAGGGAGGCCTGCCTTCCTACCAGCATATTTCATGCTTGTAATGGGTTTGTCTTAATCACTTCTGCTTGTGGTTAATTCCTTTTGATGTGAATCTTATTAAGCTCAATGGCCTAGAGACAGTTTTCCTTTTTATTTTTTTTATTTTTCTTGCACTGAAGACTTTAATTTTATGAAGCTAGGAAATAAATGAATCAATAGGGACTAAACTAAAGCAAAATGTTCCTTGTGAGCATGCTAGCCAACAGGAGGTGAAGCACTTGCCTCGGGTCTCAAGGCACTCTTGACCAGAAAATGTTCCGTTGCAGCACTGTCCAATAGAACTTTCTGCAACGATGCCAATCTTGTATATCTGTGCTTTGCAGTATAGGATCCACACACGGCTCTTGAGCATTTGAAATGTGGTTAGTGTGACTGAGGAACTGAATTGTTAATTTTAGTAAATTTTAATAGCACAGGTCGATAAATCTGTTGCAGTGAAGTCAACTCTGGCTCATTTATATGAAATGAGAAAAAAATTAAAAAAGGAGGGGGGAGAAAAGAGCATTTTTAAATTTTTATAAATTCAATTGCTAGTAAATCTACCCCATGTGTGTCAGAGTAGAACTGCACTCCATAGGGTTTTTCAATGGCTGGTTTTTCAGAAATAGGTCACCAGGTCTTTCTTCCAAGGTACCTCTGGGTGGACTCAAACCTCCAGCCTTTTGGTTAGCAGCCAAGTGCATTAACCATTTACACTACCCAGGGACTCTCACACAGGTCTCTAGGAACAAGTAGTGATGCATTCTTACGACTGAGTGGTTGTCTTAAAAGCCTGTGAGCAGCCATCTAAGATAATCCACTGGTCTCACCCCTTTGGGAGCCAGGGAGAATGAAGAGAACTGGATACAAGGAAAAGATTAGTCCAAAGGACTGATGGACCACAGCTACCAAGGCCTCCACCAGACTGAGTCCAGTACAGCTAGATGGTGCCCAGCTACCACCACTGACTGCTCTGACTGGGATCACAACAGAAGGTTCTGGACAGAGCTGAAGAAGGATGTAGAACAAAATTCTAACACACACAAAAAAGACCAGCTTTACTGGCCTGAAAGAGACTGGAGAAACCCCGAGAGTATGGCCCCCCAGACAGATTATTAGACAGTCCCATAAAACAAAACAGGACTAGTGAGGCATAGCAGTCCGGGGATAAGGACTAGATGGCAGAAGGGGACAGGAAAGCTGGTGATAGGGAACCCAAGGTTGAGTACGGACAGTGTTGACATGTAGTGGGGTTGTTACCCATTGTCATAGGGCAACATGTGTACTGACTGTTTAATGAGAAACTATTTTGTTCTGTAAACCTTCATCTAAACTGAGAATAACAGCACAACTGGAAGAACGTAATCAATGTCACTGATTCGTGCATGTAGAAATTTTTGAAATGGTGTATCTTTGGCTATGTATATTTTCACCAAAAAAAAAAAGGTCGAGAAGGGAGAGTGTTGACATGTCGTGGGGTTGTTAACCAATGTCATGAAACAATATGTGTACTGGCCGTTTAATGAGAAACTATTTGTTCTGTAAACCTTCACCTGAAGTACAATAAAAAAAAAAAGATTGAGTGGTTGATTCAGGAATTAGGTGGAACCAAGTAGTTACTTTTGTCTATTTGTTGATAAACAAGTTAGATACTGGGGAAAAAAAAAAAAAAAAGCTCAAATCAAATAAGAGTTTTATGCCTGGGAGAACAAATCCTTCTGTAAAATTCTGGGAATCCTTTAAATACTCATAATTTGAAATTCAGCCCTTGATCCAGCAAACTGAGGTGTGTTTATTTCTCAGTCTTCCTATAAATACTTTTACTGCTAGTGTATAGTATGTAGTCGGTAAATACATGGTGTGTGAATTATTGAATAGGTAATTCTGCAAACAGTGAGAAATGGACATTCCTAGTCCTGCATCTGCTGCAAAAATTCATGTGAATCTGCTCTCCACAATTCTATTGTTGCTTTTTCTTAGATGAGAAGGAATTCTACTGTTGCTTTTTCTTAGATGAGAAGGAATAAAAGTTATAAAGCTAGAGTAAATATTCGGTCATGCTGTGGTTTCATTATTTCCCAAGGTAAATTGAAAGAATGGTCTTTAGTCCTCTATGGCACCTCCGTGCAGCCATATTCACCAACCAACGAGTTTCCCAAAGTGGAGCGCGTCCGTTATAGCCGAGTGGAGGACCCCACGGATGACTATGGGACAGAGGATTATGCAGGTGAGCCAGCTTCCATTGGGCACCCAGCCTAAGGAAAGAAAGCTCATGCATCATCATCACTCCTTGAGGGATATACCACTACCCAAATACTGATTATCTATCATCTCCTTTTCTACCCACAAATTTTTAATATGTGCTTGTAGGTATGTGTACGTATATATGGACATGTATATGTATTCATATATTTAAATATTCATGTATTTTTTAGAAAGCAAAACCCATATTATTTATAAAACAAAAAAACCAGTTGCCATCAAGTCGGTTCCACTCACGGCGACCCCATGAGTGTCAAAGTAGAACTGTGCTTTATAGGGTTTTCATGCCTGTGACCTTTTTGGAAATAGATCACCAGGTCTTTCTTCCAAGGTGCCTCTAGGTGTGTTCGAACCACCAACCTTTTAGTTAGCAGCCTAGCGCTTAACTGTTTACAACACTCAGAGACTCCCTGTACCATATATAGACTCTGTATCCTTTTTTTCCCATTAAAGATTTTATTATGAGTATTGTTGCTATTGTCAAATATTGTCAGAACACATATTTAAAAGACAGCATAATATTCCACCCTGCTAAACCCTAATGTGTTTAATCCATATTCTAGAGCGTATAGTTTGCTTAGAGATTTATACTACTTTCAACAATGTTTGGATGAACTATATCTTTAATTCTTTAGATAGAGTTCTATTCTGAGAATTACTGCATCAAAGGGAACAATCAGTTTTAGGGCTTGGATACATTTGGTCACTTTGCTTTCCGGACAAGATATAGCAGTCCATGCTGTGACCAGCTGTGTGTTTACTACGTTCTTTCCTGCCAGCACTGAGTGGAAAGGAAGGAAAAAAAAAAGGAAAAGGGGCAGGGAGAAAAGAGCACTTTGAAATTTTTATAAATCTGATTGCTAGTAAATCTAAACATTTTTTTCTCTGTTGTTCTTCTCTGAATTTAATACACCTGTCTGTTACCCATAGTCCATTGAAGGTGGTAGTAATTTTCTTATCTACTTGTAAGAACTCTTGGTAAATTGTTTCTCACAGTGTCTCATATTTGCTGTAAATATTTTCTCGGTTATCAGTTGTGTCTCATATGTAATTTTTGTTTTTGTTTTGTATTGTTGTGACATAATGAACTATTGGAGGATCAAGTTTATAGTTTCAGATGTAACGTGTGACTTTTTTTGCAGAATTTTTATCCTTTAAAATCAGCTAAATATCCACATGCATATTTTTGTAATCCCTTATTTTTTACATTTGGTCATTAATTCATCTGGAACTTATTTTGGTTTATGATACTTAATGTGAAGTAAAGTTCTGTGTTTAATTATCTTCCAAATAGTCTAGTGTTGTTGGCCAAGTTACTGTCCCTTCTTTTCTTGGCTTAGGACGCTTCCTTTATAATAATATACTTAAGTTCTAATATAACAGGGTCTCTCCTGGTACCACCTTTTCAATCTAATAATTCTTAAACTAATACTTCCTAAGTTATTTTAATTTTATTTCATGATATATTTTAATATCTGTAGGACATCTGCTTCCCGTTTTCATAGCAATTCTTGCTCCATTATTTTTCCAGATGAAATTTAAAATGACTTGTTAAGTCCTTCTTTAAAAATTCTGTTGGAATTAATTGAGTTTATGAGCAACCTCATGGGAAGAATTGCTTTTTAATATAGACTCTTTCCATCCAAAACATAGACCATATCCCATCTTACTGAAAATTTTAATTGTGTTAGTTTTCTCCTTGTTAGTGTCCCTAAGTATTTTGGGTCTTGTTGCTACCTTCGTAGAAAATATTCCATGTTTTCTAACTACTATATTGGCTATCGCATATTTATCTTATATCTAGCCACTCTGCTTAATTCTCTCATTAGTTTTTATGTTTAGAGTTGATTTTCCAGGGCAGTTCAGGTACTTTAGTCATACCATCTGCATTTTTTTTTTTCTCCTTTCCAATATATTTTTGATTCCTGTCTTATTGCATTGGCTTTATCTTGCAGGAGTGCGTAGACCTTCTTAGATGTGATATATAACACCTAATGGACAGAGATTCCCATAATGGAGAACTGTTTGTAAATAACAGTTTAATGAAGCTTTAGAAGGAATGTGTTTTCCTCTGCAAGTCTCTGAGATTCTTCCCCGAGATATTAAAGAAAGTACTTCATTAGTCACCTAAATAGAATATCCTAAGTATGCATGTGGTTCCTTTTCTTCTGAACAGGTAGTGTCCCAGAGTCAATAATAGGTTCAGGTAATTAAAACCAATTGAACTAACCAGAGCTAGATCGTGTTAGCTTTTGTGTTGTTTTACTGTTCATGTTGTGCCTAGGAAACCATTTTGTCTTCTCTAATATGAGAAAGAGTTCCCCAAAACATAAATGGAATATAATAGTAACCTATTGTTATGTTTCTAGTTCCGGTTTGGGTAATGCTAAGATTCTGAACAAGGTGGAAAAACAGTCATACATCTTTGTGGTTTTTCCCATTACATCTCCAAAATGTCCACATGGGCACTTGTGAGGAAAACAAAGACAATTGTTTCATTTTTATCCTGAAACCTATAAGGCTAAACTGTATCTGGAACAGTTTACAGTTATCAAATAAGTAGCCCAGGATGTGAACTTGAATGTCTCGCCATACAGAGCCCTTTTGGCAATATCAAGAATAAATGTATTGGGTGTTTGTTTCTTTTTTATTTTTAGAAGTCAGCTGGTGAAAATTTAAGTCCTTTTGGACATGTGATTTCCATCTTCATTTAGAAATCAGAGGCAGAGATAGCATTATCTTAACAAGATCCCTGTACAGTTTCATTGAATCACAGGGACTGAGAAACCCACAGCTGGCTGAACTTCAGCCCTGACACCACTCTCTTAGTGCACCATAAACCAAAAACCAAACCCGCTAGGGCTGAGTCAATTCCGACTCATAGCAACCCTATAGGACAGAGAGAACTGCCCCATAGGGTTTCCAAGGAGCAGCTGGTAGATTCGAACTGCTGACCATGGAAGATGGTTAAAATGTCCCAAGATGTACTAGCTGTGCCATTAAACTTAGAGATTAGTTTAAGGCTTTGGGGGGAATAGAGATAAACAGTGCTGTCAGGTTAGTCTATTTCCCCCAAAGCCTTAAACCAATCTGATAAGCAGTGCTGTCAGATTACTCAGTGAGCCCAGCTGGTGCAGTGGTTAAGGGTTCAGCTCCTAACTGAAAGGTTGCCCGTTGGAACCCACCAGCTGCTCCGTGGGAGAAAGTCTGCTTCTGTAAAAATTACAGCTTAGCAAACCCTGTATGGCCGTTCCACTCTGCCCTAGAGAGTCTCTATGAGTCGGAATCTACTAGATGGCAGTGGGTTTGGTCAGATTACTCTTGCGATTAATCAGGACTATATTCCAAATCTGCAGTGTTTTGAAATGACTCATTTCTATTCCGATCAGAAGGTCATCTCTAGTGCGTGATTTACTACCACTAGGGAGGAGACCTGGACAAGGAATGAGCACACACATTGATCCCAGCTCTCCCCAGGAATATCATCAACGCTATGATATTGGACAAGCCATTGGAACTTTTGAAAAATCTATTTTCTCATCAGTAGAATGAGGATGCTTACAAAATATTCTCTAAGTCATTCCATCCTAGCTCTAACATTTTATGTCTCTATGACTCAGTAATTGGTAGAACCTAGTCCCACAGTGGAAAAGCGTGGTGGCATAGTAGTTAAGAGTTCAGCTGCTAACCAAAAGATCAGCAGTTCAAATCCACCAGGCGCTCCTTGGAAACCCTGTGGGGCAGTTCTACTCTGTCCTATAGGGTCACTATCAGTTAGAATCAACTTGATGTCAACGGGTTTGGGTTTTTTTTTAGTCCCATAATATAACTAAGAAAGATGAAGTTTCATCAGTAGTCCTTTTGATTAAAAAGAGTACAGTTCAGAGCATTTCTGGTGCTCTTACTGTTTATACATTTCATGCAATATATATTTATTGCTAGTTAAAATCATATGAATATGCAACAGGAAAGAGCTTGAAGATTATGAGATCAAATGTCCCAAAACATGGAGAACTAGGAAAGAGAAAGTTTAAGCAAGCAAAACTTTTATAATCATATCATTAGAAAGCTTTTCATCGATCACAAAATAGCTCCATCCTTCTGGCAGACTTTTTTGTTTTCTTACTGTGCATACTCTCTAGCTCTGCTTTGAAGAATATGTAGCAAAAGAGATTAGGAACCTTCATCACAAGTCTGGAATTCTTTAAGCTTACTTGCATTTTTAAAATTTATGTATCATTTTCTTTTGTTGAGTTGCCTTGGCTCATGGGTAAAATGCAATTTTAAATCTATTTTCTGCACCTGAAGTACCTGCTTTGTAATCCAAGACTAAATGCTGATAAATTCATGCCAGATGCCATAATGACATTTGTTGCTGTCTACAGTATCTCAGAGGTATTCAGTGGCTTTAATGACCTTGGATGAGACAGGCAATCTGGTCCAGGCATTGAATAATAACCTTTATGTCTTTTCTGTCAACAGCTTTACTTCTCATTTTTCCATAAATCTGACATTTTTAAAGTTATGCATATTTAATTGCATCAGTTTTTTCAAGTTGCTACAGTGGCATTGTTCATCTGAATTTTGAAATATTTGTTATCTCCCACAAGGCACCCATATGTGCTTGAAAAGTAGGATTTACATTTTTGATACTTAGGCAATTGAGGTTTTCCCAGAAAAGTCAAAGTCTATCTCTGGGCTTATAACCACATTGACCATCATTCTTCCATCTTAAAGAAACCTTCAGAGCATAAGGACAAAAAATGTCTTATACCAAATTCAAGGGAAAGCTGACCTGGTTTAAAGTCCTTTTGTGAAGTGTTGCTCTGATCTGTTTCGGAAAGGCCCATGTGACCCTGAGTGCAGTGAGGTTGGCTGTGGCGGACCGGGGCCGGACCATTGCAATGACTGTTTGCACTACTACTACAAGCTGAAAAACAACACCAGGTAAGAAAGAGGCCAAGCGGGACCCCCCACAGCATGGTTGGGACCAAGAGATGACTTACTCGAGGTACTTGGTCTTGTGTAACTGCATTGCTACTTCAACACCCTGTGGGTGAGAAAGCTTTACCAAACCAAATTTGTCCCTTTGGATGTAGGGTTATCAGCGTGGTTTAAAAAGGATTTTGAGGCTGAGGACAGCTGTGTGCTCACATCGCCATGAGGATGCTGTGGACTGAGTCACTGGTGACACGGCCCTTCTTCCTTGTCCTTCCCCAATGCAGGATCTGTGTCTCTAGCTGCCCACCTGGTCACTACCACGCGGACAAGAAACGATGCAGGAAGTGTGGCCCCAACTGTGAGTCCTGCTTTGGGAACCACAGCGACCAGTGCCTGTCCTGCAAATACGGCTACTTCCTGAATGAAGACACCAACAGCTGTGTTACTCACTGCCCCGAGGGGTTTTATCAGGACACCAGTGAGTTGATTTCAAATGTTTGGGTTTCAGAGAGGAAAGGTGGGTTTTGTCTTTAAATGAGTGACCTTGGGAGGGATATTCCTCCTCTATGAGTCTAGGCTTTGCTTAATATCGAACCGGGATCTAGCCGTTTGCTATTTTTTAAGAGAAGAATTTAGAAGCTTTATGTAAAATGCCTGTAACTGTATCTGGGGGTCCTCAAGACCACCCCACCTCCAGGTCTGAGGATTTGCTAAGAGGACTCGCAAGACTCAGCACATAGTCTTACTCACTCATTCATGGCTGAGATTGATGACAGCGAAGGGAGACAAAGTCAAATCAGCAAAGGGAAAAGGCGCATGGGGCCCAGTCTGGAGGAAACTAGGTATATAAGCTTCTAGAGTTGTCTTCCAGCGGAGTCACATAGGACGTGCCGAATTCCCCCCACAATGATTTGTGACAGTACTTGTAAAATGTCATCTACCAGGAAGCTCATTAGAGACTCAGCAGCCAGGGTTTTTATCAGGAGCTGGTCAGGTAGGCATGCTCTGCCTGCCATGTACCAAAATTCCAGACTCCCAGAAGGAAAGTAGGTGCTCAGCACAAACCATATTGTTGGTACAAATAGTTTAGGCACCGTGAGCCACTCTTATAAAGGAATAGTGGGAACACTCCCAAAATCCAAGTTCCCAGATGCCAGCCAAGGGCAAACCTTAAAAGCACACACCTTTCCAAAGATAGCAGTCAGACCTGCTCTTTTCTGCACACTAACAAACTAGGACCAGGCCTCTGTAGTATCAAAGCATAATTTTCAGAAGTTGAAATATATATATATTTTAAAAAAAAAAGAAAACCATTGCCGTCAAGTCAATTCCGACTCCTAACAACCCTATAGGCCAGAGTAGAACTGCCCTATAGAGTTTCCAAGGTGCGGCTGGTGGATTTGAACTGCCAACGTTCTGGTTAGCAGCCAAGCTCTTAACCACTGCACCACCATGGCTCCGTATATAAATATAGGGTGAAGATATCTCAAATACTTATGTAATCCATTAATGAGGGAATCTGCAAATGGGTTCAAAGATGATCAGGCACTGTAGTCCACCAGGAAAGGCAAAATGAAATCAAGTTAGAGACAAAATTGATTCATTTCCTACTTGGGGGTTATTTTTTCTAATGGATAGAAATCATTTGTAGTTCATCCAAACAAAAATCTGTAAACTAATATGTAACTTCACAGAGTTTAGGCTCTATCAACTGTGGTTAATAAACAGACGGAGGGATAGTCCCCTATAGAGTTAAATAATCCTTGGGCAGTTCTGTAGACAGCGCTCCAACATGATACTGAAAAGACATGCAGATAACTTTTGCTTTATTTCTGAGCGCTGGATAATTTGCCTTAACAAGGGTATCGCACCATGGTATAGGATGACACCGAAATTCCATGTTTCCACACAACTTAAGAAAGAAGAAAAGCCAAGTGTGAAAAAAAAAAAGAGTTGTTAAATAAAATCAGGCAAGATTCTGAAAGTGGGTACTCGAGCTTCTTAAGAAGTGAAGTTCTTTATTGATTCAAAGGCAGTCATTTATTTATGAGGCAATAGCGTCTATGAACTTGCACTTTAGAACAATGGGTAGGGATTCTCCTTTTGCCCCAAAATTTGGAATGTGAATTACAACTTAATGGAGAAAGTAGAAAATGGGGGGAAGGAGAGGTAAGAGATCCACAGAAATATGCACTATTTCTTGGGGGAGAAGAAATGCGAAATTCTATTAAGAACCTGAACCTTGGAAAAGAAATTTGGTTCTGGAATGTTGTATGGCAGGATCAGGATAATTGAGAGAGTCAGTTCTTTTTCCAGAGCCTGGGAGGTGGATAATTAAGGAAGGCTGTGCAAATAATTACTTCAGCTACCATATAGTGTTGATACAAGTGGTCTGCGTATCTCTTTCCTTTTATGTAATTGCCTTTTGTTATAGTTTCATACTTGAATGAGTCCATTTATATACAACATGGTGGTCACATATGATCATGACTAGTAATAATTACTACCAACACTTGTACAGTGCTTTATGGTTCATACAGTTCCCTTGTCTAATTTCATTAAGCCCTCAAGACAAGCCTCATTGTAATCTCCACTTAACAAGAGACAGAACAGAGACCCGAAACTTACACACTGGAAGTGATAAAAGCAGAGGGTAAATCTAGGCCCTCTGACTTCAGATCGTATGCTATATGCAAGATTCTTAATGACATGGTGAAGAAGACTATATGGTTAACTACCATGAGATTGTAAAGGGCTTCGTGTTTCATGCTGAGGTACTCAGACACAATCCAGTAGGTCTTTATAGGGATCCATTAAAGCATGGTTTCTCTCTGGAATGCTGAAGAGCATCAACAGATCAAGCAATTACAGGAAGAGAGGCCCACGAACAAAGCTTCATTCAATTCTACATATATATGTGGATATCATCTACATGCATTTCCGAGCAGGTACCAAGTCTCCAGCAAAATTTTGTCTAGGATAAAGGACCTTATTTAATACACCTAGGAGTCCCTGGGTGGTGCAAACATTTAATGTGCTTGGCTGCTAACCGGAATGTTGGAGGTTCAAGTCTACCCAGAGGCTCCTTGGGAGAAAGGCCTGGCGATCTACTTCTGAAAAATCAGCCATTGAAAATCCTATGAAGCACAGTTCTATCTTGACACACATGAGGTCACCATTAGTCAGAATTGACTCAACAGCAACTGATGGTTAAGATACTAAATTGCCTTTTTTTGTGATAGAACAATAAACAAGATACCCAGTCATGAATTTGCCATTTTTTTTTTCTCCAGTGTGGACCTGGGTTTGGTATTAAATAGGAAAACCAGTATCCACAGTATATTTATTCAATCAGATCATTTCTGTTATCCAGAATACAGATGTTATGTGAAATATAGTAACATTCATATCAATTCCACAGTAGCTGTAAGGTGCAAGATACCATTTGATGATGCCAGAAATAAATAAGTGACCCTTATCTTGCAGTCTTCTTGCAGTCATGGAGCCCTGGTGGTGCAGTGGTTAAGTGCTACGGCTGCTACCTAAAAGGTGGGCCATTCAAATCCACCAACTGCTCCTTGGAAACCCTATGGGGCAGCTCTGCTCTGTCCTATAGGGTCACTATGAGTCAGAATCGACTCGACAGCAACAGGTTTGGTTTGGTTTCTTATAGTCTTAAATGGAGTACAGCACATCTGAGTCGTCCTAAAAGCTGAGAGCCTGGGAGTCTATGATTCCATTCCATGGCCTCAAGCATAGCTTCCCAACCCTCCCACAATGATGTTGCCCCAGCTTCATTAGTGAGAATTTTCATTGATGGAAGTTAGAAAACCTTGCTTGAGAGAGACAGAAGGAGGAGAAGGGAGGGGAGGGGAGGGGCAGTGTATAAACTAATCAACTAAGAATTAAGCAGATCATACTTTTCTTGACTGCACTATAGTAGATGATCCCCAAGGTGCTTTCCGGTGCTGCAATTCCTTCCTGTGTTTGGTTTGCTGAGAAGTGATAACAAATAGTGAGTTTGAGGCTTTTCTTGCAATTTTCTACTCAAGGCCAAGGATACCATGGCATACATTGGCAAATATCAGAACTTCCCCACGTGCTTTATGGAATTCAACTGATCAATTGATTTATAACCTTGTTACTTTTTTTTTTTTAACAGAGAAAAATCTTTGCCGGAAATGTGGTGAAAACTGCAAGACATGTACGGAGTCCCTGAACTGTACAGAATGTAGGGATGGGTTAAGGTAAGTGAGTGAAGAGTTCATCAAGTAACACAATCCTAGGAATTTCTCAATAGAAATAAAACGGGAAAAAAAAATAAAGAAGTAAATAAATAACTCTCCTACCATATACCTTTGATTTGACTCCCACTGAGACGCTTGAGATTGCTATTTGCATTCTTTCTACCATTTTATGTGACAAATAGGATGCCATCTTGCCTAAGGAAGGTTTATAAACCAAATAAAATTCTCTTTAGAAAAGATTACTCAGATACAAGTAAGTACAAATGGCCCTTTGAGAGGCATTCTTCATACTTTTGACCTACAATGTGCCAGTCAGGGATTGCTGTGCAGGTAATGCCAATGAATTATATTTAATCCCCCTGATTTATTCCTTTGATGGTTGGAAACTATTCCCTTATCTTTATTATGTCTCTCCATACAGCCAATCATTCTCTTATCTTAAGTACCTCAGGCCTGGTTCCATTACGCTATGGTATGCACATAGATTTAACACCAGGGGATGTTTTCCTTGAATGGATGACTTGCTCATTGCAAAAGGGAGATAGTTGGCAGAATCCCTAAGAGCAGCATGCAGCTCCAGAGAACATGGTATCCTGTTGATCTCAGTAGAGAAGGTCAGACCACGACCTACGTTGAGTGAGGAGTTAGACTCTGAGCTTACGCAGAGTTCGGATTCTATTGTACTGAATCCCTTTTAAGGATCGATAGTATCTTTTTTTCCCCTTTGATCAGAGGTGAAATCGGCAGGGTCCAGGCATTTTCCGGAGTCCCTGGCTGGTACAAATGGTTAACATGCTCAGCTGCTAACCAAAAGGTTGGAGATTCGAGTCCACCCAGAGGCACCTCAGAAGAAATGTCTGGAGATCTACTTGGGAAATATCAGCCACCGAAATCCTTATGGAACACAGTTCTCCTCTGACACACGTGGGGTCACCATGAGTCATAGTTTACGTGACAGGAACTGGTTTAGGTAGTTTCTAGGCAGGTAATTCCTCACACTAATCAATATTGGAACATTTTTATTTAGATCTATTGAATATCTGCTCAGTATTGGAACATCATTTTTATTTGCATTTATTGACTCTCTGTGGCTTTACTTTTTTTTTTCCGTAAGTACATTCAATGTTAGTTTCCTTAGTGCCTTTCGTTTCAAAACTTTACTCATGATAATTCTCAGTTGATTCAGACTCCTAATTCTTCTTGGAGAAGGTGCAGAGCAGCATAATAAAAAGAAAGAAGGTAGATATGGGTGCAAATCCCCCTCTGCTGTTTATCAGCTGTGTGACCTTGGGCAAGTCACTTAACCACCCAGTTTTCTCTTCTATAAAAAGGGGATGATATCCCCTACTTTGCTGAATTGTGGTAAGGATTAACGGTGATAACATTTACAAAGCATCTGGCACATAGTTGTTCCATGAGAAATAAGGAATTAAGAACTATATGGTGCCCGGCTACCACCAATGACTGCCTGACAGGGAACACAACAGAGAGTCCCTGATGGAGCAGGAGAAAAATGGGGTACAGAACTCAAATTCTAGTAAAAAGACCAGACTTAATGGTCTGACTGAGACTAGAGGGACCCCAGAAGACATGGCTCTCGGACTCTCTGTTAGCCCAAAACTAAAACCATTCCCAAAGCCAACTCTTCAGACAAAGATTAAACTGGACTGTAAGACTTAGAATGATACTCGTGAAGAGTGTGCTTCTTAGCTCTAGTAGATACGTGAGACTAAATAGGCGGCTCCTGTCCAGAGGCGAGATGAGAAGGCAAAAACAGACAGGAGCTGGTTGAACAGACACGGGAAATCCAGGGTGGAAAGGAGGAGTATGTCACATTATAGGGATAGGAACTAGGGTCACATAACAATGTGTGTATAAATTTTTGTATGAGAAACTGACTTCAACTGTGAGCTTTCACTTAAAGCACAATAAAGAGAAAAAAAAAGAAATAAAGAATTATTTAAGATAATTTTCTTTATTTCTTAGGAAACGTTTAATATAATAAGTTAGACCAGTGCTCTCCAACATCAATATGATGAGAGCCACATATGTCATTTTAAAGATTCCAGTAGCCATATTAAAAGAAGTAAAAAGCAAACAGGTGAAATTGATTTTCATAAAATATTTTATTTAACCAAATATATCCAAAATATTATCATTTCAACATGTAGTCAATATAAAAAATTACTGAGACATTTTACTTTTTTTTTTTTTTTTGATACTAAGTCTTGGAAATCTGGTGTGTATAATACCTTTAAAGCCTTAAAGCACATCTTGATTCAGACAATAATTTTTTATAAGAAATACTTGATCTATATTTAGATTTCATAAAATTTACTCAAAAAGGTAGATTTACATGGCCAAGTTATTCCAAACTTAGATTTTTCCAGTAACTGAATCACGTACCAGTTTTTTAAATTCAGATTTAAAATAGTTAAAAGTAAATCAAATTTAAAATTCAGTTCCTTGGCCATACTAGCCACATTTCAAGTGCTCAGTCTCCATGTGTGCTAGATAGAGGCTTCTATGTTGGATAACACAATACTGAAAGAGTGTAAGCTTTCTCACCAGGAGTTCCCAGTACCAGGTCCACTTGCCTTATGATACCAGTATTTTGGAAGCAGCAGAAAGTCCGGGTTCACAGCAACTGCTCTCTGCCACACATCACACTTAGCTCATTCCTTACTCACACAGGGCAACCTCTGTCTCCTGCTGACCAGATGCCAACCTCAGAAGTACTGTCCTTTATTAGAAAAACGAGGCAGCTTTTCAAAAGCTCTGATAAGTTTTTCAGGGTCCTGTTTCCTGCCACAAAAGGGTACCATTTGATGCAATGTCTTTTTTTTTTTTTTTTCCCAGTTCTACAGAAAAGGAGGGGATTTTCTTTTATTGGCTTTTTAAACAGCCCTCTCTGGTCAGTCAGAAGGTCATGAATGAAGTCCAGTTTCAGTTTTGCAGTCCTCGGTTTCCTTGAGGCTCCTTGCATTTTCTGTGGACTTCTAGGGTTGACCATTTTTCTCAAGAGACTGGTAAATTTTTAAATAGTGGCTAAAAAAAACAGGGAGAAAAAATCTATGCATAAAAATACTGGAAGGAAATGGATTAAACTGTTAACAGGGACTATTTGTGAGGTTTTTCTCATCTACCTTATTTTTGTGCTTTGCAAATTTCTTTAATGAGCATAAGGCAAAATACATTTTACTTTTTACTTATGCTCCATATAGGAAACAGAGGCAGAGATGTGAATTGGAGCAGTATCGGGGGTTTAGGAAGCTGGAAATCATTTGACCTTGTTGATTAGATACACATGTTCGAGTACCATCGACTTGGTGACATAGGATTATATAATTCCAATTACACTGATTATGCAGTGGACAATGTTTATATATGAAATATTATAAATTCTATTTATTTGTTTTTAATTTATAAATATTTAATTTTTTTAGTTTTAATTTGGAAATTATGAAAAAATATCATAGCTAACAGAAATCAGGAGGAAGAAGAGGAAAATATGCATTCCTTATCCAACATTCTGGCAACTCATTAGATGGTGTCTAGTAATGCTAGATAAACTTAAATTAATTAGTTAATATTGTACGTAACTACTAAACCAAAAAACAAACCCATTGCCATCAAGTCTATTCCAACTCATAGAAACCCAATTGGACAGAGTAGAACTGCCCACAGGGTTTCCAAGGAGGCTGGTGGAGTCAAACTGCCAACCTTCTGGTTAGCAGCCACTCTCCTAATCACTGTGCCACCAGGGCTCCGTATAACTACTAGAAAAACTAAATAACATAACTAAGAAAAGTTGAGATGTTTGAGAAAGTAGCAGGATAGATAGGTAATTTTGTTAAATTCCTCACTAGAATTGTTAACATTAATAAATTAAGAAATATAGGCAGAAGTATATTAGAGTTTTGTTGTTTAGATGGTAACCAGTAGAAGAACTAAAATCAGAAATACTGAAAAAATTTAAAAAGGCTACTACTTCTGGGAATTTGGTCTAGGGATCAGGCAGGGATAGTTGTACACTTTTATTCAAGTGGAATGCATCTCACCGCCTGTTGCTACTGCATTTATAATTACAAAATAACATTAAACATAATTATGTAGTAGGTCTGGATATTAGGGAGTACTCCAGATTGTTAGGTAATGTGATTTTTTTCTCAATAAAATGTTTGTAAAAGTCTCAGGGCTGGAAGATGTTGACCAAAATAAAGCATGTCAGCCAATCTAAAGAGAAGACTATCCCCAAAGCCTCACAGCCCATGTTCGTGCTTCAGGCATCAGTACAGGCACGGAAGCATGATAGGCATCAAAAGGGAAAAAGAGGGTACAAGGAATGTTTCCGTTGCTTTGAAGCTTTGCCAAACCCCCTGGTCTCGAGGGCAACTATATTTGTTGCATATGGAGTTTGGAGAGCTGTTACCTCTTTGCCTGGATCACAGCAGTCCGTGTAAAGCTTTGTTCCTATTTCTTCCAGCTTGCAGGGTTCCCGGTGTTCTGTTGCCTGTGAGGACGGATGGTACTTTGATGGCCAGGACTGTCAACCCTGCCACCGCTTCTGTGCCACCTGTGCTGGTACCACCCCCACCCACTCCCCCAAGCCTTTCCTTTTATTCTTCTGGCTCTGGTGTTGCTTTTGTTTATCTGTTTTCACTCATCACTTCAGCAACACGCTTGATATTTTTTTAACTAAATGTTGGAGAAATCTCTGAGAAGCATATTTCTTTTTCAATCATCATGCAAATATATCTGTATTCTCATTGACAGTCAATCAACAGTAGCCTATTGAGAAACTTAAATATCCCAGTGGTATCTCCTTCTCTTTCCAAAGAGATTTGATGTTTTTTAGCAAATGGGTTCAGTTTAACATGGGAGTTGTTCGGGTTTTTTTCCCAAAGAAAGTAAGAAAAAGCACAAATATTAAATTACAACTCTTAAAATCATAACATGTTACTTCTATCTTCACAGACTATTAAAGAAACAGCCCATTATGCAACCTCTGTTGAAATTTTATGAGTCAGAATCAACTCGACGGCAACTGGTTTGGTTTGATTTGGTTTATTAAAGTTTTGTTTCTGTTTCTTGTGTTTGTCTTACTTTTAAGGAGCAGGAGCTGATGGGTGCCTTAACTGCACTGAAGGCTACTTCATGGAGGATGGGAGATGTGTGCAGAGCTGCAGTATCAACTACTACTTTGACCACTCTTCAGAGAATGATTACAAATCCTGCAAAAAGTAAGGGGATCTGCCCCCATGGTCCTAGCATTTGATTCCTAGTTCCTTATATGACTGCCTTCATAAATAATATGAGAACTTAGATATTTTGCATGGCAAAAATATACGTAGCACATTTGCTAAATCAAATTTTTTATGTATACAGTTCAGTGATATTGATTACGTTAGTCATGTTGTGCCACCATCACCTTTATCCATTGCCAGATTTTCCATCACCATCAGCAGATTCTCAATGACTCCTCCTTTCCCCCTTCTTCCCGCCCCAAGTAACCACTAATAAACTTTTAACCTCTATACATTTGCCTATTCTAGATATTTCATATAACAAATCAAACCAAACCCATTGCCATCAAGTCAATTCCAACTCATAGCGACCCTATAGGACAGGGTAGAACTGCCCCATAGGGCTTCCAAGGAGCAGTTGGTGGATTTGAACTGCCAACCCTTTGGTTAGCAGCCAAACACTTAAACTGTGCCACCAGGGCTCCAGATATTTCATGAAGTGGGATTGTATAACATTTGTCCTTTTGTAACTGACTGACCTTACTCAGCAAAATATTCTCAAAGTTCATCCATGTCATAGCATGTGTCAGGACTTCATTTTTCTTTCTGGCTCAGTAATATTCCATTCATCAGTCTATGGACGTTTAGGCTGTTTCCATCTTTTGGCTTTTGTGAATAGTGCTGCACTGAATACTGATGTACATGTACCTGTGGGTAATTCTATGTTTAACTTTTAGTGGAACTGGAAAACTTAGAATTTTTAATAATAAAATAAAGTTCAAACGTTTACCAATAGGCACTGCCCTGTGACTTTAACTCAATTTATCTTTGATATTTTTATTGTCCCAGGAGTATTTTAAAAACCTTTACGGTAATATTTCTGTTTTCAAATACCTACTATGTCCCCTTTAAAATCACAATTTCCACCTGCTGGGTTTTCTTTAATGTTGTCAAACCTGGCAATTACCATCTGAAAAGATTCCTGTGTCATCGTCAAAGGGAGAATTAAGTATAAGACATTAAGACATTGTTAGCAAACATGACTTCTCCTGTGCTTGACGTGGGAAATAATAATCAATTGTACATTGTTCTCATAGATGTGATGCCAGCTGCTTGACCTGCAGTGGTCCAGGGTTCAAGAACTGTACAAGCTGCCCCAGTGGGTATCTCTTAGACTTGGGAATGTGTCAAATGGGAGCAATCTGCAAGGATGGTGAGTGCAACCGCTCATTTTGATCTCAGCAAAATGTGATCTTTCTATTCTGATGTCTAATATATTTCTATTTAAAGAAGCCATCAGGCATGCATCAGATAGGACATGGCCAATATCTTGTTGGCATTTGTTTATCTTGAAGTTATGGCCCTCGATGGTATGTTTTTAATTATAAGAATAAATAAATCATCTATAATCCTACTGGCCAAGACTGCTACAGTTAATTTTTGCTGTATTTCTTTTCAGTCTTTTTCCATATGTATTTTTTACCATATTTTTTAAATACCATGTACATTGAGTTTTTTATCCTGCTTTATGCAATGAGCATTAGACATGAACATTACAGCCTTTTTAATAACAGCATAATATTCCATCATGTGAGATACCATAGTTTTTTACCATTATTTTTTTTACCACTAAAAAAACAGTTTTTTTACCACTATTTGGATTGTTTGTATTTTTGATATGTAGATAACATGGCTGTGGACATCTATGTTCATACAGCTTTGATCAAGTTTAAGATTATTACCTTTGGAAAATTCTTGAGAATTTTTAATATGTGATTTTTAGTTTTCTCAATTGTAATTCACCACCACTCAACAATCAAAAGCATTGAAATGACGGAATAGATGAATCTTCCTTTTTTTCTGACCTATAAATAGAATATATATAATTATACTTAATAATACTTAATGGGTTACTGATGGAAGTGAAATCATGAAACCAAGAGAATGGAGATAAATTATCCATTTGTCACAAAACATTGGTTTATAAAGTACCTAGACTTGTCTTAATGAATCTGTTAGTTTACAGACTGGCATAGCAAAGTAAATAGTAATCAAATTGTATCTGAATCTTTCATTAAGCCTGTGAAGGTAGGAATTAATATTCCAGTCTTATAGAAGGAAAAACCCAAAGTATATCTGGAAACGGATAGAACCAAGTTTAAAACTTAAAACTTCTAAATGTTGGTCCACTTTTCTTTCCTTTGTACCACTGGTTCACGACCAAGATGCCAGGGCCCCAGTGCTCCCCCAAAGATTCTGATTGAATGGTCTGGGGTACAGTCTGAGCATGGATATTTTTAGAAGCTCCTCAACCTGCAGTCAGCTTTGAGAACCACTACACGACCCCATCCCCCAGACAAATTGGCAAATGACTAGCCTCAGTTTACCCATCTGTAAAATGAGTGAATTTAAATTATTCCAACTCCAACATTTTGTGAACTTTGACTCCCGACCTCCTATATAATTCATGCTGAGGAGGGCTTAAATTTGTGGCAAAATTTTATGCAGACACTACATCTCAATGGCGTAGAAAGAAATTATTTTGAACCCTGGTTGTTCTAAACACTTTTGGATCCTTATGAAAATAAAGGCAGTAAGCATTTGGAACACTCTAACTTGATAAAATCATTCCCCTGGGTTTATTCTTTACCTTGTTTTGAATATTTCCTCTTGCAGAAATCTTGTTCTACCACCTGTTGGTGGTAGAGCAGTGCTAGGGATGAGAGTGTGGACTCAGGAGCCAGATTACTTATGTTCATATCTGGGCTCCAAACCTTGGGCAAGTTATGAGCTTCCCTGGGCCTTACGAGATGAGAGTAATAGTACTGACCTCATATGGTTATTCTGCAACTCCCTGTTAGGAATCTCAAAAGGGCAGCATAAAGAGCTTGGCACGTGAAGGCACTGATAGAACGCTATCTATGGTCTTGTTTCCATGGAGCATCATAGGTGACTTTGCATCTCCCTAGCTTTCCTGATGTATGATTTCGTTGGTCTGGGGGGATGAGCCGGACCCACTCAGGCTCTGCATGGTTGAGGGTTTCTTGGCCTAGCTGCACATACTGGGGTGAGAGGAATGGACATGGCACACCGGGAACCATGTAAGTATCATTTTTAGTTATCAGCAAGTGTCTCCGTACCCTTAATTAAAAACATGGTTCCCCTGTATCTGAATATGACCAGAATTTTCTTTAGTTAGCTACCTGAAAACTAAAGAAGTTTTTTAAGTGATTGACCCAGGAAATCCAGTATAACTTGGAAATTCTACCCACAGCCCTTGTACTGGGCATTTCAAGGTTTGTGATGATTTAACTGTTTTCCTAAACCATGGTAAGCTGGATGAAGTTACGCCAGACAGCACTTTGGTGAAAGTGGAGTGTCAGGATTGTGGGCAAAAGTGGAAAATGAAGAACCATAATTTGCAATGAGTTCATTTTCGGATTTCTTAAAAAATGAGATTATCAATGGCTCACCAGACTTTTCAAATCACATGGTCATTACACTTAAGGATATACTTTTTTGTTCTCTCTCAACTATCATATTTCAATGAGTCTAAGACACACACATTTTTACATTTTAACATCTCTGAAATCAAGTGCATCATATAATTTCTGGAATTTTCCAACTGCTTTTGACCAGCAGGTTGATGTGATGGAGTTGTCGTTGCCTGGATATCAATGAAGCTTAGTGACAGTGCTGTCTATTCAACAGAGTCAGGCATATAGTTACTACTGAATGTGTTGAATTCAACTACAATTCAAAATAGCTTCAAAAAATTAGATTATGGATCAATATTCAAAGAAAGCGTTCTTGTGTAAGCACAGAAACAAAACAGCATGTTATATATAATACTTTCAAGTATAAAATGAAAATTCTAAGTGATAAGAAAATATCATGGTCTAATAAGCATTTTTTCTTTGTAGTACTTAAAATAAGGGAGCATCTTAAATCTGCAGTGTCTTAGATGTGATGAAATATGGTACCAAGGACTATATACTCTTTGCTGTAGGTAATTCTAAAGAGAAAAACTTCTGGCTTATATTATTGCTGGTTTCTAATTTATTCTTTTTCTAATCCTTTTTTTTTTTTTCCTCCGTAAATGGATACCAATCACATTTCCTGTTGGACGCAATATCTCTCCTTGAAAAACAATGCTGTTGATTGAAATCACTTTGGGTGGACCAAATTTCTTCCTTGTTGACTGCTCCTGAATGATCTCTTCCAATCCCCCAATCTGCCTCTCTGACCAATCAAAACCTTCTTCCGTGTGTGCACATCATGCTGCTCTCATCCTCAACTCCCCCTCTCTCTTGCTGACTTCCTGGAAAAGCAACGGAAGAGTCCTGGGCCGAAGGAGGTTTCTGTATGCTAGTGAAAAAGAACAATCTGTGCCAACGGAAGGTTCTTCAACAACTTTGCTGCAAAACATGTACATTCCAAGGCTGAGCAGCCATCCCAGATTTCTTTGTTCCTGTAGACTTATAGATTTACTCCATATTATTATTAAAAAGAAAAAAAAAACAAGCAAAAAAAAAAAAAAGCAAGCCACCTCTCTCTTTTTTGCTCTCTGTTTCTCTCTCTCTCTCTCAAGTTTGTGCAGGGAGATGGTGAACTGTTTTGTCAGAACTTAAATGGAAAAAAAAAATAAACCTACAACAAGCCTACCTTTTATAACTGGGTGTTTAGCACTAAACAGCCAGAACAACAGAGACAGTATTGTATGACCAAAGCATTTGATGCCAAAATTTGACTTTAAAGTAATGATTTCATTTCCTGCCCTGGTTTTGAAGGTCCTTTTTTTTTCCTTTTGCATTTACTTGCTTATTTCCCCTTTGAGACGTCTAAAAATACCTTTCAGAAAACATTGCAAGAGTGTACATAGATCAAAAGGAAAGAGAAAGCTCTTACACCAGTCATTTTTCATGCTTGTGTCCACCATTGGCGGAAATGTCAGGAAACTGGATCTGAGGGCATTAAGAACATCCCACAGAGTTGTGTTCGGTGTCGTTTGTCTTAGTACTTCACAGTTGAGCATTGATACTTTCCACGCTTAATTTGCTTCATGCATTGCATGCTGATTTTTGCATTATTCTCACTTGATAAGTCTGCTCCACTGGTTTCATCAGATAGACTTGCTGCTACTGGCTTTTCCACTAGATTTTTCCACTGATGGGATTGCTGTATATAGTCAAATTGGCAATGGGAGGAATGCAGAGATACATAAAAGAGCTAGACCAAGCCAGGTCCCCTGAAATCCAGAGTATTAACTTTATGGACCCTGAACAATCTCTTGGTGCTATCTAGCCATTATCCCCATAGCATTTTTTAAAGGCCATCAAAAATTTCATTTGTGGTGGTGGAAGGCATTTGGCTATGATGCAGGAAATTTCTTCCTGGAGTCAAAGTTTCTAAAAGGTCCTGTATTTTTTAATAAATGGAATTTATTTAAATAATATTTAAGCCTGTGCCCCATTTGGCCGGGCAACGTTTTCAATGGTGCTTATTAGACATTTTTTTCATCCTGTCATTTGAAGAAAATAAAACTGGAAATAGAATATGGGCAGCATGATTGTACCCTCCTGGTTCTGTTATTTTCCCACTTCTCTGTCCCTCTATACCCATGCTACGATACACCTATCTACTGAGTGTTGTTTTCTTTGAAATACCTGTACTGGTTTTCTGACTCCCTAAATACATCATGGAAACTAGCAGATAGAATTACAAGAAAACTGTTTTGGATCCATGATCAGAAATAAGCAAGCCTAATGATCTTTTTACCAATTCTGAGTTTCTCTGCTTAGAGGAATATAGACCAATATCAAGTTTCTTCATTTTTCACATCAAAGCTCCATTGATGACCTCATTTGCTTTGGGAGTGACCAGCCATCTTGCAGGCTTTATGCTTCTCAGAGCCTAACTTCCAAAGTGTCACTGGCTTTGACAGCTGAGGAGAGGAATGATATTAAGATAGATTATCCTGGAAAGCTCGGAAGTGGATGCTAAGGTCCCCATCCAAGCAGCAAGTTAGTCAAAAGCCTACCTTGAAAAGTCATTCCCAGACATCAAAGTTAACTTTCTTCCAACCCAAGATAAATAATAAGTCTAATGGTCCTCTTAATAGCATTGTGGTGATAGTGAGTCACATGATTCATAAGTAACTAGGTTAGCAACTGATTTTACTGAACAATTTTCCTCTTTATAACACTGCAGACCCTTCTGACATGAGGAAAGCAAGTTAATCCTGGGCACAGAATACAGTCTTACATTTAAAGCACAGTCCTGTGGACAAGTGTAAGCACAAGCCTAAAGCAAGGTCAAGCAGATGGTATACTCCAGATATGCCTGCCAAGAAGTCCATTTAATTGAACCAGCCCATAATATTTGAGACACAAGGTTATCATGATAGGAAAGATCAAAATGATGTCTGTGTTCTTAGACAAATAACAATCCACATGACAGCCAAATAGGTTGGGGTCCACCCGCATGCATTCCATTTCCCACTGACCCCGCAGGTCACGTCACGGAAATACTGGTTCAACTACTAGTGTTATACTGCCTCATTTATCTACATAACATTATTAACTAGAACATAATGCTTTCAAAGTTTAAGTTAATGTTATATATTATGTATAAATATATATATTCATAATGAGATATATGTCATGGATAGTACAAAGTTCGGAGACTTAACAAATGTTCTAACCTTCTAGAGACAGAAGTCTTATCTTCTGTTTTCTTTTGTCTTTTATTTTTGATTAGTGCTCCATTGTTAAATCGAAATCCACTTTTACTGAAAAATACTGTACATGTGTAAAATGTTCAGTTGTTTTTTTGTAAAATATAGTAGAATGGTTGTAATTGATACTGGCCAAAATCAATGTTATTCCACATTTTATTTTTTCTAATAAATTAACCTAAGTTCCTGTTTATTTGATCTGTTCATACCCATGTGTAAACATCTCTGAAAGCTTGCGAGGTAACGAGAAACCGTTCTTTGTTTTTGCATGCAATCTATGAATAACAAGGAAAGGGCGGAGGTGAATGAAGCATCTAAATAAAGTTGGAAAAGAAAGGGTGGGCAGAGGTAGGAAGTGAAAAGGAGAAAGAAATAAACAGAACAATATATAAGAAGGGAAAAGGTTAAATTTGGTCATAAATGTATATTAAATCCCGTTTTTACAAAGCAGGTTTTGAAAAATATCTGTAAAAGCTTGGTGTAGTTTTTCTCCAATTGTACAGATGCTGGTTCCCAGCCCACGGACCATCTGGGTCCACTGTTTCCCCTGTGCTTCCAATGGGCATGGAGCACTAAGCATCCACCAGTAGGTGTAGTGGGGATGGGGTCCAAAGGGTGGAGAATGAGGCAGGGAGCATGCGGGTTGGTAAAGGAGAAGGTGGCATGGTTCAATCTGCTGACAACTTGTGTAAAACTGACAGTGGCCATATCCGTGGATGTCTGGAAGATGACTTTGTTTAAAATAAATCTCCAGTACATGCCATGGAGTGGGACTAAATAGTTAGCAAAAACAGCCAGGGATAGCTCTTTGACTTACTTGAGATGCAATCATTAGCCTTGATGATTCAATACCCTGCCTTTTGGGAGAGAAATGACAAAAAAGAAAAATCAGCAAACAAATTGAACTCCAACTAGGTTTAAAGACCTGGTGGTATAAAAAGACATAAGAGAGAGTCTGTACTTGTCATGAAGTCCCGTGATTGGGCTGGGAAGAGACTAATCTTACTGACCATCACTATGTGCTGCACAATGTGGAAATATGCAGCATAGACCTGATGATATGAATATATAAGTATGTCGTCTCTCAATTCTTAACAAAAAAAAACCCGAGAACAGATGCACACTTATCCTCTGTTTACAAACAAGAAAACTGAGGCATGTAGACTTGAAATAAATTGACTGATGTACATATCTAATAACAACAGACTCAGGATTATAATAACAAAATGTAATAGTAAGGCAGTTAACAATAAGTAATGGCTTCTAAATATCAAATGAACAGGACACACACCTAGTGTGTTCAGAATACACAGAGATTCCTTTGGATTGGACTGGTTGGGGCAAGTTTCCTGCAACAGGTTAAACTAGAATCGGTTCTTGAAGGGTGACTAAGGTGGATACCCATGGGAGATGTTGCTAATCAATCAGTATCCATCTACAAATTGATCAGAATTTGCTTATAAGAGAAATACTTATCAGGCTTAATATGCTGTTTATCTCTTCTGGCAGATTCATTGTTTTCCACTCAACATCTACTCTTCATTTCGAGGAACTTGCAAACCAAGTACTTGGTCCAGAAGGGAAGGTGGTTGTTTTAGTAACAATTTAGTAATTTAAGCTTCTCAAAGTCACCAACACCTTAGGCACAGCTGGGTACAGAAATTTATAGCACCTTACCATCCTCATATAAAAAGAATGTCATGTTGCTAAAATCTAAAATAGACTAGCATCCTTAACTGCTTTCATATTATCATTCAGCTTCACACAAAGCAAGTGATGGCAGACAGGCAGCATGAAAAATGGAAATAGCATATGGAGACAATTCTAAACTATGGCTTGTCCAGTTCAATACTTCCACCCTCTAATACAAAATAGCAAAGGGTGAACAAAGGCCAGCTGCAGCCTGACCTCACCCAGCCTGAGCTGGGCCCTGGGGCCCAAATTCAATATGTGTATCTGACAGAAAGCATAAACCTGCTTCACTTCTCTGGTCAACATCTATTTCCAAATACGTTATTTTTGTTGCAAACCCATAAAATCTGGAGTTCTTGGCAGAGTACTTTGGAGTCATAGACAAATTTAGCAGGTTGTAGCCAAGATGGGCTTAATTTCACCGTGGATCATTGGAGCTACTTGGCACCCAGAAATGAGACTGTAATCCCTATAATCATCACAAGAGGTAAAGATCTGGCCCCAGCTGGTTCTTGGGCAAGAAGGATGCAGTTATGCAGAATCATTAAGTTTCAGTGGCCCGTCTGCAGTTGCCTCCCATTCTCTACCTCCAAGCGACTTACTTATAAAGACAAGTTTGACTGGGTTATCACTGAAGGATTTTCTTACAAGTTCTCCTCTCTAAAGTGTCATTGTTTGGGGACAATTGTTTCTTCAGGGCCAGGTGTCAGGTAGCAACAGATATTTTGCATCACCACTTACTAGAAAATTCTAGAAACATACCTTGAGGCCTAAATTGTAACCATTCTTTAATTTTTTTTAAGAATACGGTATTTTAAGGTTGACAGAGTTTTAACTAAACTGGTTTTATTTAATTTGGCCCACACAATAACCCCATGAAGTAGATGAGACAAGGACTAATACCCTTATTATAGATGAAGAATCAGAGGCCTATAGAAATTAACTGTCTGAAACAAGATTCACAGCTAGGACTGTGGCTAGGACTCAAGCCCACAGCTTCAGCCTTCTGCACAACACTGCCTCCTTTTTAGCAGTGTCAAAGAAAAACAAATCCACATTATGTACATCGCCAGGCAGAGGGTAAAAACCTTTTCCCAAGTGACGAGAGAAAGCACATTGGATCCCTGGACTTGGATTTTTCTCCCTATAAGCTTGGATTAATTGCTTCCATAAATAAACACTGCTAATTCCCTATTATACAGCAAGCTCTGAGGTTTTTTTCTTGGCCTCTTCAAGCTTATAGTCTAAACAGACACAAAAACACGTGGCTATAATGTAAAGCTATTTAAGTGCCTCAAAAGGGGCATAAAGAAAATGTTGGGAGTCCAGAGGAGAGAACCCACTTTGCCAGTTAAGTGCTGAAAATCCCATGCCCTTGCACTATGAGCTTTTCAAGGCACTCAAAAAAAGCTTGAACCATTAAAAATAGAGTTGGCTCTAAAATGCAGAAATAAAACTGCAAAGACCAAAATCAAATGATATTCTATTTAGTTAAATATCTACAAAATGCAACATGTAAAGCTAATCAATTTCAACTCAAATCTTAAGGAATTACTGTAACTAAATTTAATGTAGGATGAAGGTGAATTTTAATATGTTGGATATGATGTAGTACCTTAAAAGGTAACGTAATTTAGGATCTATGGGGATCTTAACACAGCCCTGCGAAAGGCGGAACAGTTCATTCTGCTGGTTGGTGTAGGGATCGCTTCCTGGATCCTAGCGTCTTCTCTTTGCTCCCTACACTCTATCCAAGGTGATATTAAATCATGACTTTAAATACCATCTGTATGCTGATTACTAGATACATTGATTAATAGATAGATAATCTTTATTCTTGATCTCTTCCTCAAGATTCACACCTGTATATCCATGAAGCTACTTGACTTTCCCCTTCAGATGTCTAATAATCATCTCAAAATTAACATATCCAAAATAGACTTCAGATTCCTCAACTCCCTAACCATCACTACCACCAAATCTGTCCCATCTCAGTAAATGGCATTACAATCCATCCACCTAATTGCTCAAGCCCAAAACCTAGGTTCTTCCTCCTTTTTTTCTCCCCCAAATATAATCCATCGACAAAGTTCAGTTAACACAACCTCCAAAATATATCTCAAAATGGTCTACTTCTCCCCACTCCATAGCTGTAATACTGGGCCAAACCACAATTATCTCCAAAATGGACTACTGCAGGAGCCTCCTAACTAGCCTGTCTGCTTCTCTCTTTCTTCTCTCCTCTTTTCCCCTTTCTCTCCATCCCCATCCATTCTCCACACAATAGCCAGAGTACTATTATAAATACAAAATCAGATATTGTCACTCCCTTCTTACTCAGAATAAAATCTAAGCTCCTTCCCGTGGCCTCTTTCTCACTTCATCTCATGCCACCCTTTCCTTTGCTCATCATGTTCTAGTCATACCAACTTTCTTTTTGTTCCTCAAGCAAAACAAGCTTGTTCAGGTTTCAAGACCTCTGATCTTCACATGGCTGGCTCCTTCTCATCCTACAAGTCTTTCTTCAAACACAACTTCCTTAGAAAGACGCTCCCTCTATAGCTGCCCACTCTTTTTTTGAGTCTTTCATAGCCCTTATCACAACATGACATTATATTGTTCATTTACTTGTCTACTGTTGTCTCTCCCATTAGAATGTAAACTCCATGAGAGCTTGGACCTCGTCTGTCTTATTCACAGCTGCGTCTTATGTGTCTAGCACAGTGCCTTGCTTAATGAGTATTTGTGGAATGAATGAATAGAATGACTTCAGAGAGTAGTGACATTTGACTTGAGCCTTGAAGGGTAAGCAGGAATTTGTAAGTCAAAGAAGGCTAGGATATTTAAGAAAGGTACTCCAGAGAGAGAACATCCTGAACAAAGACACAAAGCCATCAGAAGGCTGGTGGACTAAGAGGGGCATAGAGGCTGAAGCATGGGGTGGGTGTGGCAAGAGGCTAGAGGGAGGGGATGGGAAAACCACTTGGGTCAACTTGTAAAAGACCTTCAATGGGCTGTTGCCCTTCCTCCCCCAGCTGTCATCAAAGTCATCAATCCTCTTTTCAGAGAAGCTAATTGACTTGCCCAAGGACCCCATCAAGTCAACTCTTGGCCTCCGGCTGACATATTAAGGAAGCACTCATTCAGATAGAATGCTGAAGAGGCTGTATGTGCTTCAGTCCCCAGAGGACTGATGGCTACACTGAGCCAGCTTAATGAAAGGACAGGGCACTGAGCAGAGCTTAGCTTTCAGGTGAGCACACAAGAGCAGGCAGCCCACATCCTCTCGTCACTGTGAGGTCCATGGCCACGACAACGAATTAGGTGAGGCCTGTTTCCAGGACTGGACTTGGGGACATGAGCCTGCTCAGAACCTCCTTTTCCTCCTCAGAAAAGAGAAAGCCCCTTGCCCTCGAAGCTGACATTACCAGAGAAAAGCAAAAGGAAGAAAAGTGATATGCTAACAGCTCAGCTTCCCTAACAACAACAACAATAACTCCT